TCCCTACACTGACCCTATAAAAATCAAGGTCTGGTGCAATTACCAGCCCAAGATGACGCCTCCCGCGACAAAAGCTAATGGGCACATTGCCCTCCTTGTTTGCTGTTACAGCCGTGCGGCAGATTTCCTGGGCGGACATGGCACCCGCCCCGGTTGGTGGTGAGGAGGAGAACCGGCCACCCGTGGATGAGCACCCGAATCGCGAGGCGAAGCCCCAGGAGGTGGCTGCTCCCCGAGCATCCACGAGTGTGGATTGGCGCACCATCATCTGGGGTAACCCGGTGGCTGCGACCGAGGCAGTCAGGAGGGGTAACCCGGTGGCTGCGACCGAGGCAGTCAGGAGGGGTAACCCGGTGGCTGCTCCCCGAGCATCCACGAGTGTGGATTGGTGCGCCGTCATTGTGGCTGCGACCGAGGCAGCCAGGAGGGGTAACCCGGTGGCTGCGACCGAGGCAGTTCCCCGAGCATCCACGAGTGTGGATTGGTGCGCCGTCATTGTGGCTGCGACCGAGGCAGCCAGGAGGGGTAACCCGGTGGCTGCGACCGAGGCAGCCAGGAGGGGGAACCCGGCGCCTGCACTTGAGGTAGCCAGGAGAGGGAGCTCAGAGGCTGCGACAGAAGAGAGGCGACGGGAGTCACCTCGTCGCCACCGCACCCAGAGGAGAGCTGGGCGCGACCACAGGGGACAGGAGCGCGGGAGGAAGGCCACAAGGGTCACTCCTAGAACCCACCCTGGAGCGGCGAGGGGACGGGCAGGAGCCCATCCTAATAGGAATCCGCCCCCACCTGCCATCCTGGTGAGGAGACCGTCTGGGCGTCTATACCGGCAGAGGAGTTCGCCCACCCGGGAGCAGCTGCGGCATGGGGCGGGTCCGACATACCAGTGCTTTGGAGGGGCTGCCGAGATCGCTCCCCGTCTGCAGAACGGGAGATGGTATTGGTGCCTGGCATGCAAGGTGCCCACCATGCATGCCGTAGACCACCACGCGGAGTACCACCGCCGTGTCTGCACTCTGACGTGGTGCCCGGTGGACGGGTGCTTGACAGCTGTGCCCAGAGCCGTGCTCTACCGTTTGACGAGCCATCTGCAGACGGACCATCACCTGGGGCCTAAGCACCACTACGAGACGCCAGGGTGGATGCAGCAGCGAGGCGCCGACAACCCCGCACACCGGGGACCGACGAACGGATACCTGCGGGAGGAGCAGGGCGAGGCCAGGAGAGTGGCGCCAGCGGCGGCAGCACCAGCTCGCCCCATCACCCGGCCGGCTTGGAGAGACGGGTGGCCAGTGGTGGCGGGCGTTTCGGGCAGGCCTGTAGCCGCCGCCGCCCGGGCATCCTTAAAGCGGGAGGCGCCCAGCGCTGCGCGCCGGAGGCATAAGAGGCAAGCCTCGGGGGTCGCGGCACCCACCGCATCGAGGCGGCGGATGTTACCCGAGACGTCGAGAAGGCGAGTGATGAGAATACGAGCGTCGGGGGAACGGATGCCGCCCGGGAGACCGGCGAGGAGTCGACCGTTTCCCGCAGCGGAAGGCCGAGCACCGTCGTCCGCACTCGAGGTGACGCCCGCGCCGACCTCGCATGCGAGGCATGCGCCGATGGGAGTGGAGGCACCGCTAGAGGTGCCCGCGTCGTCGGAAGTGCCAGCTCTGATGCTGGCGACGATGCGTGCACTGGAGCCGCCTGGGGCTCCGTCTGCGAACTCCACCGAGCAGTACAACGAGTTCCTGGGGATGCTATTCCAGCCCCCAGCCGACCTTCCGGCGTGGGATTACCCGAGTCTGAGCGATCCGGATGGCGGGCCGGCGTTCGACCGACTGGAGCGACTGGGTGTCCGCCAGCTGCGCCAGGCGCTTTCCTGGTGCAGTGCCCAGCGACGGCGCACTGAGAGCCTGGATCGGCGCGTCAAGGAGCTGCTGGCGGCGAAGACCAACATCGTCCGTCCGTCCGGGTTGGGTACTACGAAGTGAGCGCAGTAGCACCGAGGCGGCGACGATACGACAAACAAGGTAGGAGTATCTATCTTGTAGTTCTCGTTGCCACTATCCACCGTGTTGCACTGCACCGTACGTAAGGTAAACCGCTAGTTACTACGTATCGTCAGGTGGCGCCATCGGGTGGCACAGAGAGACACAAAACGCTACAGTACGAACACCCCACGCACGTTTCTTCGATGCCAACTAAAGTTGTTCGTAAGGTGTGCTAAATTTTCTGCGTACGCATTTCTTCTTGAATCCGGCGCTGAGTTCACTAGTGAATGCTGCTAGTTGCATGCTGGGGGTGGATTTTCTACAAGGCCCATTGGGCCTGCTAGTATTAGAAATGTCAGGCCCGAGCTTTAAAATACGGGCATCGACCGCGCCCACGGGCCCGTTAGGGTTTGGAACCCTGAAATGACTTTTTATGTCACGGAATAACGCATGCGCCGTGTGTTTATTTTTGGACTTTTTGAAACATTTTCTACGACTCTCAACACCTTATATATTGATCGGAAATTCAGAAACTCGGAAACTCAAAAAGTCATAAGTCGTTTCAGGGCTTCCATACGTCCGCACACCAAAGCTCGCGTTTGGCGCCAAAACTCGACCCGACGAGTATGAGTGTGTTGTGTGTTTGGCTGCTTTGGCATTACTCATACATATTACAGCACTTGGCCTCTTGAAAACTTGGGTTTTAGTACGGGTGATACTCCATTAGGAGTGTTCCCAACTTTAATGTCCTCAACCTTTTGCACGGGTATTGCTCTAATAAAGATTAAACGTTTATTGACGAATGAATCGAATCAATCACTTGTTTTATTTATAGAGGAGATATACCTCTATGCTCAAGGCAAAAAATTTCATGAAATTTCCAGCACCTAATTATGTTACCACAAAAATTTTGAATTTTTATGTAAAAATTGTATTTTGGATACTTCTCAATTACCAGAAAGAGTGAGGATACAAAATATTCGTCACATGTTAAGCACAATATGTACCAAAATAGCGCATCAGGATTTTTCTTTACCGAGAAAAATTAAAAAACTGCCTAAAATTTAAGTCGCACGTTTGAATTTAAAATTTTTGCTAATAAAGAGAGATAACTCATCAAATACTGCACTTAATAACAATCCCGGACGCGTTTTTTTACAGCAATATGTTACCATTAAAACGAGTGTAAAATTAAATTATTCCGAGTTGTAATCACAGAGAAATATCCATTTATACATCGATTACCAAGTCAGAAATTGGAACGGAGAAATCAGCGTTTTTCTGACGTCAGCCAAATTAGAAGCCACTACACATGTACGCGGGCAAGCAAAACGCTCTGACAGTTCACATGTACCGTTATATGGATAAATGAGCATGTACACAGGTGGCACATAGTGTTAGCCATCGAATAAAGTTGAAAATGAAAAATCGGTAAAAATTTCCCAAAAACCTTGAGAGTATCACTCGAGAGTATCAATAATAACAATCATAATAACATATATATATATATATATGGTCATCCCGTCTGGAGGACGGGTAATAGCTAGTGGTCATATATTAGTTTGTAGTTTAATGTCATTTAGGTTAGGGTTAGACGGTATGTATATCTGTACTGTACTACCATTTCGAAATCCGAAAGATTCCGAATTCCGAAATGTGTCTGGTCCCAAGGGTTCCGGATAATAGATTGTGTACTGTAATACTTAAGTTAGACTGTTAAAGTCTAACTGTAACTGTAAGCACTGCAGCAATGCAAATCGATATTATTATTTAAATACCAATAATCTCTGCAATACACAAATTTCACCGCATTGCGTGCACGCAGGCCACTGTGCATAAAGCTATCTTTCTGCGAGTTCATGCGCAGTGTGTGTGGTAAAACTGTGTGTTGCAGAGAAGCATTTGGACTACATTTACGGGACACTGTTACCAATAATAGGCAAAAGAGCATAGATTCATGATAGTAGCGCCCCTAATTACAGTTTGTGTTTATTTACCATAATTTTTAGCTCATCTGACATAGTCAGATGCAGCTTGTAGAATCGCATGATCGTCCGTCCGTCCGTCCGTCCGTCCGTCCGAGCGTCCGTCCGTCAACAGTTGGGCACAAATCTTAACCGCTCGACGTACGGTCACGATATTCGGGACGTGGGGGGTAATCCGAAAACGAGTTGGGATGTCGAAGCTGGGGGTCAAAGGTCAAAGGTCAAGAGGTGTAAAAGAAGGGGGAACATTCACTCCTTAACTTAAGGTATAGGGAGGAAATGCAGAATTGCGGCACAAATCTAAACGGCTCGATCACGAGCCTAGGAGCAGTCAAATTCTTTCTAACAGTAAAGAAATCCATGTTTAACCCGCCTCTTGAGGGTCAAAGGGTTATCCGACACTTACTCTTCGCACGTCAGCAGAAATTACATTTCATGGTCCTTTCAATAAAGCCATAAAAATGCTAGGTCACTGCTGAAACAAAAAAGTTTTTCAATCGCTCCATCAAACCATGTCCTCAGAAAATGTCTAAAATCTGCCCTGTGTCCATTGACCTGTGACCTCCAATTTTGGCACAGTGATGGCTTTTCCTACCATGATGCTGTACACCGACTAGGGTTTGCTAGTAGAATCTATACATGCCTGGATGTATGAGGCTACAATGTCACAGTGAAATTTCAAAAGCTAAATTTGGTTGAAGAAGGTTTATGCTCCTTAAATCGTATAATTTCTATGCCATTCTGTACTGTCAGTGTGTTACATGTAACTTATGCCACTGCCAGTGGCCACTGCCAGTGCATGTGGTGGTGATAGTACTGTGTAGTTTTTGCCCTGTGTTAATTAGTTACAGGTGGCAGCTCTCTATTTCAGCCTGTAGGCTTGCGTAGGTAAATGGATGAGTGCTTACCTATTCTGTCTTGCAAATAGTTGTTGCTACTATACGTACGATGGGAACTTCCATCTTTAATCTTAAGACACTTAAACGTACGCGCCATCTCGTGGCAACTTTCATAACGATCCCAACGAACATTCCTTTGAGAAGGTTTCTGATACTATCCCTGTGCCTTCCAATGTTTCGGCGTATGTGAACACATTTGGGACTAACAGGGTTTACTAGAATCCCAGCACTCCACCACAGAGTCACCGCAGTAGATGTTAGATGAGCGCTGTCGCTCCGCGGCACTTGTTATGTCAAATCAGGGAGTCCGGCAGTAAAT